TTACAACAGACTTTAAATTTTATAATTCCGCCCAATACTTATTAAGAATTTTGATTTTAAAGTTGAAACTTATGTACAAACAATTAGTAACGGTAAAAATGTCAGTCATTCGAGTTAAGTACGCCAATGGTATAAATTTAGTATTTCTTGCGTTACATTGGTTTTTTGCGATGAATGCTATACACACACAATGAACGTAAAATTAGTGGATTCCAAATTATTTTCTAGTATTATTTGGAAGCGTTAGTTGGTAGTTTATTTAATTGTGTTTTTGTAAATTAAACACTATGGTTTATTCAATTGCGGAAAGGGTAGATATAATTTTGCTTTACTTTATGAACAATAAATGTGCGAATAGAACAGCTCAGCTATTTAATGAATAACATCGAGATCGACATGTCAAGAGGATGTTCTAGAGTTAGTAAAAAATTTTCAAGAGACAGGGAACGTAGCCAATAAACGAGAAACTGAAAAACCTATAGTTAATGAAGCTAGTGAAGTTGCAGTTTTGAAACAAGTTCATTTTGATCCCACATTAAGCGCAAGGCAGCTGGCATCTGTGTCTGGGATCAATCAAACCATTTTGAAGAATAAAATCCATCCATACAAAATAGATTTAGTCCAGGAACTTCATGGGGATGATTATGACCGCCTTTTGCAATTTTGCGAAATAATGAACATCTGTTTTTCTGATGAATGCAATTTTTTCTTGAACGGGACGGTAAATCGTCAGAATTACCGCTATTGGTCCGAGTCAAACCCAAGAGTTTTTCACGAGGTGCATACACAGCAACCGGAAAAATTAAATGTATGGGCTGGAATTTTCGGTGACCGGTGGGTCCTTTTTTCTACCTGATAATTTGACTGGCCAAATGTATTTGCAATTACTGGGGGACGCTATTGCCTTGACTGATATTATTGAAAATGTTCCAGAGTATGATGAAGATCATTTGATTTTTCAACAGGACAGTGCTCCTCTGCATTATGCGCTAATTGTCCGTCAGTATTTGGACCAATGTTTTCTACGGAATTGGATTGAGAGATGAGGCAGCATTAAGTGGCCTCCACGATCACCGGATTTATCGCCCCTTGATTTCATTTTGTGGGGATACCTAAAAAGTAAAATCTATAAAACACAGCCAGCGTCGCTGGAAGATTTGCGTCAAAGAATCTTCGACGAATGCCGTCGAATCACTTCGGAAATGCTTAGGAATGTGCGCG